TGGGGGGGTCAGAAAACCAGTCAGTATCTGGTGTGACCACCATTTGCCTCACACAGTGCAACACATCTCCTTCCCATAGAGTTGATCAGGTTGTTGATTGTGGCCTGTGGAATGTTGGTCCACTCCTCTTCAATGGCTGTGCGAAGTTGCTGGATATTGGCAGGAACTGGAACACGCTGTCGTATACGCCGATCCAGAGCATCCCAAACATACTCAATGGGTGACATGTCCGGTGAGTATGCTGGCCATGCAAAGAACTGGGATGTTTTCAGCTTCCAGGAATTGTGTACAGATCTTTGCAACATGGGGCCGTGCATTATCATGCTGCAACATGAGGTGTTGGTCGTGGATGAATGGCACAACAATGGGCCTCAGGATCTCTTCACGATATCTCTGTGCATTCAAAATGCCATCAATAAAATGCACTTGTGTTCGCTGTAACATACGCCTGCCCATACCATAACCCCACCGCCACCATGGGCCACTCGATCCACAACGTTGACATCAGCAAACCGCTCACCCACACAACGCCACACACGCTGTCTGCCATCTGCCCTGAACAGTGAAAACCGGGATTCATCCGTGAAGAGAACACCTCTCCAACGTGCCAGACGCCATCGAATCTGAGCATTTGCCCACTCAAGTCGGTTACGACGACGAACTGCAGTCAGGTCGAGACCCCGATGAGGACGACGAGCATGCAGATGAGCTTCCCTGAGACGGTTTCTGACAGTTTGTGCAGAAATTCTTTGGTTATGCAGCAGCTGTCTGGGTGGCTGGTCTCAGACGATCTTGGAGGTGAACATGCTGGATGTGGAGGTCCTGGCCTGGTGTGGTTACACGTGGTCTGTGGTTGTGAGGCCGGTTGGATGTACTGCCAAATTGTCTGAAACGCCTTTGGAGACGGCTTATGGTAGAGAAATGAACATTCAATTCACGGACAACAGCTCTGGTGAACATTCCTGCAGTCAGCATGCCAATTGCACGCTCCCTCAAAACTTGCGACATCTGTGGCATTGTGCTGTGTGATAAAACTGAACATTTCAGAGTGGCCTTTTATTGTGGCCAGCCTAAGGCACACCTGTGCAATAATCATGCTGTATAATCAGCATCTTGATATGCCACACCTGTGAGGTGGGATGGATTATCTCGGCAAAGGAGAAGTGCTCACTAACACAGATTTAGACAGATTTGTGAACAATATTTGTGAGAGATGGTCTTTTGTGTTTATAGAAAATGTTTTAGATCTTTGAATTCAGCTCATGAAAAATGGGAGCAAAAACAAAAGTGTTGTGTTTATATTTTTGTTCAGTGTACTTTCAACATATTGTACCACAGTAACCTTCTCAATTTCCGTCTCAATAACCGTCTCTTTCCGTCTCAATACGTGCGTTTGCATGGATCCATGTATTCCTTTTGCATTCGGGTTGGAAGCCCTACCCGAATAGGGTACTGGGGGCGGCAGTAGCTCAGTCCATAGGGACTTGGGTTGGGAACCGGAGGGTCGCCTGTCGAGTCCCCGTCTGGACCAAAGTATGGAGCGTGGACTGGTGGCTGGAGAGGTGCCAGTTCACCTCCTGGGCACTGCCGAGGTGCCCTTGAGCAAGGCACCAAACCCCCCATCTGCTCGGGGCGCCTCACCAAGGGCAGCCCTCTAACTCTGACATCTCTCCAATCTGTGCATGTATAGGTCCTGTTTGTGCATGTGTGTGTCTTTCGGACCTGTGTGTAATTGACAAGCAAGAGTGAAAACATTGAATTTCCCCTCAGGGGGATTAATAAAGTAAATACACTTAAACTTAACTTAAACTTAAATGCTCCTTGTAAACACCTCAACCCAAATAAAAACAGCCAACCCGAAAAAAAATCTAATCGGGTGCACAGGAGTGGAATATTCCTTTTCAGAACCCGAATGGAAGAATTTTTCTGTCTTCTATACACCTCCTACCCGATTGCAGCCATTCCGGTCTTTCTGCGCATGCTCGTTTCCTTGCCCTTGTGGCGCAATGACATATACAGTGTGCATAGCAACGGGCTGAGACAGAGCAGTCAGACTTGTTGCACTAATCGGTTTCCATTCTCCACAGCACGGACTTCTACCTCCATTCTCCTCCTCAACAAATGAAGAACAAGGTTGTTGTCGTACTGCTGCTTCAAGAATATAAGCAAAACAAGCCCGAAAAGGCACTAAGAACGGCGTCGTCAAGCGTCTTGTTATCCGGAGTGAGGACTACAGTGTTTTCTTCTGTTACACGTCACATCCGCCCCGCCCCCTAACCAATCAGAAACCTTCCCTGCCCCAAACCTTGCGCGGACCCAAATAAAGGTGATTAAACTGATCGCCATGTAAACCCTCATTCGGAATGAATATTTCCCATGTCATCTACCTGGAAAAACTTTAATTCCGAATGATTCCATTTAGATTTATTTCATTCTGAATGAAAAACCATCATGTAACCGCACCCAGTGTGTCATACGGATTACTGTTAATTTATCATGCTGATCTGTTCTGTACGACATCTATTGCACGTCTGTCCGTCCTGGAAGAGGGATCCCTCCTCAGTTGCTCTTCCTGAGGTTTCTACCGTTTTTTTCCCCGTTAAAGGGTTTTTGGGGAGTTTTTCCTGATCAGCTGTGAGGGTCATAAGGACAGAGGGATGTCGTATGCTGTAAAGCCCTGTGAGGCAAATTGTGATTTGTGATATTGGGCTTTATAAATAAAATTGATAGAATTGAACTGAACGTCATCATTTTACCGTCTCTGACATCATAGTGAAGTTTGAGCCTACAGTCCTACAGACTGCCCATATTAACCTGAACTCACACGCCTGTGTATTATGGGATGTCATGATGTCAGTTGTCATGGCCGCACTGTAGCTATAGGGGTTCCTAATAAAATGATAACACAGAATGATGTTAGAAGCTGCCTGGTGGTCGGTTTCATCTGACGGCAAATAAAAGTCATGACATCTGACGGGAAGAAAAATGAATGGTGTTTACTTGAACTTCCTGCCGCTCTTCGCCTGTGTCCCTCCGTTCCACACAACGTCTCCATCCTCATAGAAAAAGAAAATGTCCAGTTTGACGTCGTCACTCAGAAATGAAAGTTCTAGACTGTCCTCCACCTGCATTTCAAAATTAAATACACACAACATAAAACACTCACCAAAATAAAACACACCCACCAAAATAAACACACCAAAATAGAACACACATCAAAATAAAAAACATGTCAAAATAAAACATACATCAAAATAAAAACACGTCAAAATAAAACATACATCAAAATAAAAACACATGTCAAAATAGAACACACATCAAAATAAAAAACGTGTCAAAATAAAACATACATCAAAATAAAAACACATGTCAAATAAAACAGTAGGGATGTACCGAATATTCAGTAACCGAATATATTTGGCCAAATATTGCAAAAAAACACATATTCGGTATTCGGTGGAATAAGTTAAAAGCAAGGCCGAATAATAGTGGCGTGTTTTGATAACGCAATCAAACAGCGTACAGTGACAAGCAGAGTAAAATGTCGGCAGTGTGGCAATCAAACCGTCACAGCACTTGCATTTGCGACTAAAAATAGTTTTGAGCGAGCAAAATAGGCTTAAATCATTCAGCACGCTGTGCGAGCAGTCTACAGATTTCAACCAGCAGCAGAAACAAAAGGCGAATCCCACCGATTGTGGGTTGAACGGGGGTCACAGACACAGACAGTAATGTATTCCTGTCAAATACGGCGGCCATCGGCTTACTGGCAACGGAGAAGTCGGCTCCAATAATATCCTCTTCTTGGCGTCATGACTGCCCAGAGGTACCTGAACAGCCGAGCCAGCCTAACACAGGTATGTGATGTGTCAGAGGAGAAACAAGCCGTTCATGGCCCACAAACCTCGCCGCACTGTAGGGACTGTTCTTTACTTATGAAGGGACTGTTCTTTACTTATGAAGGGACTGTTCTTTACTTGTCAGGGGAGGAGGGTGGCTGGTTGATTTTTATTTTATTTATTTATTTTATTTTGATCCCCCCTATGTTAATCACTTATTGATGCTGTTTTTGAAGTATGAATAAGTCAGTAAGTAATTTATTCCATTGAAATATCATTGATGTATTATAGAAAAGTGATTTATCTTTTGATAAATGACAAAAGGCACATCTGCCTCATTTTTGCTGTGGTATCGTGATACTACTTAGAACCATGATATTTTCATTGGTATTGTACAGTGGGTCCCAATATTGGTACCGTGACAACACTAATCTGGAGGGGTCATCTGCAAAAACTAATGAAAAACTAAACAACAGTATTCGGTATTCTGCCAAGCGTTTAATATTATTCGGCTTCGGCCACAAATTTTCATTTCGGTGCATCCCTATAAAACAGAGTAAAACACACATCAAATTAAAACACACAAATTAAAGAAACACGTCAAAATAAATGTCAAAATAACAGAACAGAACACAAAAAACAAAAACAAAGTTTTCACCTTTCCAAACTTGTGTTTGAGCGCCAGGCCGGCGTCCCTGAACGCCGTGATGATGTCAGACCTGAAGTCCACGCTGAATATGCCAATATCGACGTCACGGCTGTATGAGATAACGCTGCACTGCCTGAACCAGCCTGCAGGGAGCAACAGACAGCCACAGAAGACATTTACTGACCAGGTTAACAACACGTTAAACACAGAGCAGACCAGAATCACAGACCACCACAGACCATTACCACAGACTACAGACCACCACAGATCATAATCACAGACCACCAAAGACCATAACTGACCACCAAAGACTATTACTACAGACCACCAAAGACCATAATCACTGCGCAATCCGGGGCGCCGGTCTCCATTAGGTGGAGTTGTGTTGCTACCTCCTCTTCCCTTGGATCTCCTCAAGTGATGTGAGGACTCTAAAACTTCACCTGGGCCTCCCTCGGCATATGGGTGAGTAGATAATGGCTGAATTTTCATTTTTGGGAGCACTATCCCTTTAAAGAGTTTTTAGAAATAAATATCATTTTATCACCACATCAGTCTGGTTTTAGAAAACAACACAGCACGACAACAGCTGCTATTAAGATGGTCAATGACATTATCGAGGCACTGGACTGCAAAAAATATTGTGCAACTCTTTTCATCAAGGCCTTTGACACAGTAGATCATGTTACCCTGGCAGATAGACTCTGTAAAATTGGCCTATCTAAGCATGCTGTACACTCGTTTGCTAATTATTTGTCAGGCAGAACACATAGCGTTCAGTTTGCTGGGTCTTCCTCTGCATTCCTCCCAGTGTTAAAAGGTCTTCCTCAGGGTTCCATACTGGGGCCATTGTTGTTTTCTATATATGTAAATAATCTCTGTGATAATTTATCAAATGCTGCTTATCATTTTTATGCAGATGATACCGTCATCTATTGTTCATCCCCTTCAGTCGTTAAAGCTGTGTAAGACCTGCAGTCTGACCCACTTAACTCAACCTAAGCTGGTGTTAAATGCAGAAAAATCCAAAATTATGCTTTTTTCAAATGGCAAAGACTTAACATCTGATCTTCCAAAGGTCTTGACTACTCGAGGGGTTGAAATTGAAATTGTTACAATGTTCAAGTATTTAGGTATTATCATTGATCAGAACTTGTCTTTCAAAGCACATATCGAAAACCTTGTCGCCAAGCTGAAGGTTAAATTGGTCTTCTTCTTTAGAAATAAATCCAACTTCTCCCTTCAGGCAAGAAGACACTTGATATGTGCAACTTTTTTACCTCTGCTGGATTGGTGAATCTGCTTTTCATGAATGCAGCTGACCAGTATCTAAAGACGTAAGACACTGTGTACCATTGTTCTTTGTGCTTTTTTACTGGTTGCGGAAATCGCATACACCATTGTACTCTGTATGCCACTGCTAAATGGCTGTCTTTGTATGTCCACAGGCTCTCACATTGGTTGGTTTTTATATATTAATCTATTCTTGGCCTTGTTCCCTCTTATCTTTCTACATACAGTACAGGCCAAAAGTTTGGACACACCTTCTCATTCAATGCGTTTTCTTTATTTTCATGACTATTTACATTGTAGATTCTCACTGAAGGCATCAAAACTATGAATGAACACATGTGGAGTTATGTACTTAACAAAAAAAGGTGAAATAACTGAAAACATGTTTTATATTCTAGTTTCTTCAAAATAGCCACCCTTTGCTCTGATTACTGCTTTGCACACTCTTGGCATTCTCTCCATGAGCTTCAAGAGGTAGTCACCTGAAATGGTTT